TCCCAATCTACAGATCGCTGCTTCCTCCCCTCTGCATAGCAATCACTAAACTCATGTGACACAGGTAAGGGAGGGCTGAGGTCGCTGGCATCAGAGCAGAGCTTACACACTGATGTATACGTGGATAAGCTCTGCTAACCTACTGCAGTTCCCCTGGAAATGTAATTTTAGCACAACGTGGGGCATACGTAGCTAGAGACGAAAAGGACCGGCTGTTCACAGGTGGAGGGGGGAGGAGATGTTTGCATCTCATTTCCAAGCAGTTTCAGTATTGCCCAAATGGAAATGAGGCTCAGAAATTCCTCAAAATGAACTCCCTATGTTGTCTTCCTCCTAGTCTATCACCAGACAGGATAAGCCACATTCTTCAATGATTAAAAGCATAATAGATGTATAAAGCTCCAGATAATCTTAACTGTTACCATTATCTAAATGTACTACCAGGTGCAGAAGGCTACACTTTTGCTTTATTCAAGTTCTGTAAACGCTTTGTATCTGTTAGTCTCATTGAAAAATAAGAACAAAATAGGATCTTAAACATGGGACTTTAAAAAAATGCCTAACTAAAGTTTGCAATTGCGGTTTTTTTTCCAAGCATATATCCATTACACCATGGTTGTGTCTGAAGCTTTAGGCATACAAAGCCACCTGTAAACTTGCAAATTGTAAAGACTTCTATTAAAAATTATATATCTTCGGTCACTTAGGAATTCTTAAAAAAAAATCTCTTCTGCACTGTGAGCACTGACACAGTCACACTCATTCTAAATGACATTTTTCATTGTACGGCAACTTAAAAATATCTGTAATAACCACAATCTTCTTTGAAGCTATTTTCTTAATGGTCAGAAAAATTAGTATTATTTTGGATAGAAGACTAAGATTCAGAACGTAAATAAAGTACAACAGGTTTCCTTTAATGACATACAAATCTAAACCTTATTTACCAGGGCTGTGGTATACAGGTGAATTACCAGTTTTAATCACTATTCACACAAAAAAATTCAGGCAGTATCAGAATACTGAAGTTCATAATGTTACCTTTTAGAACCTCCTACACACCTACATTAAATGGAGTATTCTACTTCTGTCTGAATGACTGTGGCTGAAGCCAAGTTTTCGAAATCTGACTGAATCTATGATGAAATTCTGGAGTTTCCCAGATTGGTGTCACATGCTCAGAATGATTCCTGTAGGGATTTTTTTTCTTTGCCACGGATGAAGGTCAGTGGTTCAGTGGAAAGATCAGCTTGTACAAGTTGCATATGCCCCATTCTGTAAATTAACTGAGGTAAAAATGAGAAAATATTTACCTCCTCTTATACTACTTAAATTCAAAGTCATTCCTTACTACTCAGCTAACAGAGTTGTTCATATATATGTGGACTATTTGGTTTATTTTTCTTCATATTTCCATTGGACTGAGGAAGAGAAAAAAAACACACAAGCAGCATCCTTGAAATCTCCATATTTATTTGAGGGTAAACCCACGAGCATTTCTTTGCCTTAGTCCCTTGACACCTCTAAATTACTCTTTCTTCATTTGCAAAAGAGCTGCATGTTGTTTTTATTTAAAGATAAAACAAAAACCTCTGACAGGCAAGATTTTTCCATTACTGCTTTTAATTGCATCTCCCCCAAACTTTAAGATATTCGGGTGCCTGAGCACACTCCTATTATCTTTCTCTTAAGGAACTCAAAAAACCTGACAGAGGTGACTGAGCTTCCCGAGCCTGTATTATTATCTTCAGAGGGTGTTTGAAGAGCAGGAACCTCTCTCCTCTGGTGGACAGTGCCTAAAAAGACTGAGCACCTAATTTATTTGGTTAAATTATGAGCCTGCAGTTTGGTCATGAATATCCCCTTATTGTTTTAAACCACAATACCTCATTTCTCATACTGAGGATGCTGAAATGCTATGACTGTTCTGAAAGTCCTCAAAACTGCATTGAAAATATGAAGCTGATCTTTTAGTCCAAAAATCTTCCGTGAGGGGAAAAAAAAAAAACAAAAACAAACCCGAACCAAAAATGGAACATTCTGACAAAAAAGTCTCAACAAAAGCTCCTAGTGAGACTGGATCGAAACACAATTTCGTAATTACCTAATTGGAATCATGTGTTTATAGTCTGCTGCTGATGCTGCTGTTCTGACCTCCTGCAAACCTTTGCAGGTAAACACCCTTTAAAGTTCTGGGGAGCTTCATTTATCCTCTGCTGCCCTATTCCTTTTCAAAGTGGGGGAAAAAACCTCCATCCAACGTGTGAAGAATTAGCAATCAGGAAACCATGCTTCAGTGAGACTCATTTTTACCTACATGAGGAATAATATGCCCCAAAATGCAAAGGTGGATGGGGCTCCACAGTATTTTACTGCAAATCTCTGCCCACAATTATTTGTGGTCAAAACCGAGTCTCTACAGCTATTTCTAGTCGCAGTGTTTTAAATGAATGACATTTCTGTTCCAGACACAGTGTCATAATCCTCTGGCAAAATGCATTGGCTGTGAGGAACAAATAAAGCTGGAACTCTTATTTCCAGACTTCAGCATTAACTCTTCACTTACAGAAGTTTATAAACTCAGAGCTGCAGCTTTCTTCCGGGTGTGCCTGGGGTATTTTATGTACAGATTTCAACAGGCAGCGCACGCACTTCAGGTTCAGTAACACTTCTTCAAAAAAAAGGTTTCTCGTATGCCAGCATGGCGTGAACTTTGTCCTGGCTCTGTGGCCCACTTCTCTCTGCTGTTGTTGGGGTGAGGTCTGTGTTCTGCAGCTGGAGAGCCAGGTGGTCACACTGCCTCAAACACCACCAGCCGAGGCACCGCTTATGTTTAGATTTCAAGTCAGTTAATATTCCTTACAGGAATCTTGGGTTTGCTGCCAGGCACAGTTCACAGCACTTCTTGTTAGAGACACCATATTTAGGATTGAATCAGGACTTAAATTGATTAGATCAAGTTTAACTTAGCTTTACATCCAAAAGCCCTGTGTGAAACAAATTGTTAAATTTGTAAATGCAACTCACTGTTAGCCTTTAGTATTCTTGCCACCAATTTCAAATTAATAAACGGCCTATTTAAAAGCTGAGCCGACAAGTCACAGTTGAGTCTGGCTGTGGCAATGGAGATGCCAATATCTGGATTACGGATAAAGAGGGTTGCAGAGTCTAAATGTCCAACAAGAACTAAATTACACTAAATGTCTGTCTTTGATTTAAGCCACTAAAATAGGAGATACCAGCCTGTGGTAGAGCAGAAGTGTAAATTCACAAGACACAATCACCAAAAAAAAGGATTAATTAAAGACAGCCAAGCTTTGCCAGTGGTTAGGTACAGCCACTAATAATACTACTATGGAAAAATTTGTCAAACTAGATACTATTCTTTGTGTCTCCTGTCTGCCAAGCTCAAGAATTTCCATGATCAGGGACAGAAGTTATTGAAAAGTGGAAAGGACACATACAGGAGCAAGATAAAGGGTTAAGAGTTTCCAGGTGTAACTTTAAGGCATTTCATTGCTCTTATCCAGCATAGCAAAATCTATCTCAATAGACCCTGTTTGCCTAAGGATAAGCCTGTATTTTCCCCATGGCTGAGCTGGAGTCTGAATAGAATATCCTGTTTGTTTGCTTTCCTCAGTGAAATGGCACCATTCACTTTAGGAATATTTAGCAGTTCTAGGAGTCTTTCTGCTTTGAAAGTCTACCCCACACATACTATTTTTCATCCAAATAACCAAAACCTTTTTTCAAATATTTCTAACATTTTCAGAATAAACAGTTCCATGGTTTGCAGGCATGAAATCAGCAAGATTCTCCAAGAAGTTTGGTAGGACTATGGTTGATTGTTAAGTTTTCTTTCTTTTCCTTCTGTCTGCAGACAATATCCATAAATCCATAAGAATGTGGGATTATCATTTAAGTAGATATACAATATGATGTATATTTAAGCCTAGGGAAAAACAAGTGTGCAGTTGCAAACTTGTCCCCATTTTGCAATCATGCCTTTTTATCATTCATCTCTGAACATCCATGCCACCTTGAACCATCTTCCAGAAGACTAGCCCCGTTCTTAAACATCATTAATTTCTTTATTACTTCTTGCAACTTAATAGAAACTAGACAATTAAAACTTTAGATGCATTCTTCAAATCCTACAGGAAGAAATCAGCTTTTCAAAACAATCTGATAAAGGAATATCAAGGCAAAAATCTCAATGTTGTATTGAAACAGAATTAAATGACTGATACACTCTATTTTTTCTAAATATCTTACCCACAGCAGCCACTTATTGTATGGTTTGCGGTTCTAACAATATTTAATATTAGGTGTTGATACAGCTGAATCCCACTAGTTCTGATGTAATAGGGATAGATGTGTTACTGCAAGTCTGAAGTACGTATTTTGCTTTCCTCTGGGTGTTCATGCTCTCAAAAGCAGAGTGCTGAATACAGCCAAATGTTGCCCATGCAGCTGCAAATGAGCCATATGTCCGCTTTATTGTAAATCCCTGAATTTCCACTGGGAATGAAATAATAATTCTTTGATAAATTAAAAAGACTTTTTAGCTGCTAATTTAAAACAAATTATTCTTTTTTGTCTGATTATTATTGTCAAGAATGTTAGCCTTCCATTGCAGCAAGGTCAGGGAATTTAGAAGAGCATTAATAAGCTCGCACTGGGTGCTCACAAGGTTACCTGATATATTCCCTCAAGTCACATAATACTTGACCAAAAAACCCAGTAGTTTGCCTCTGAGTATAAAATAAAAAGAAACCCAGTGTAGCTATTAATGTGCACTAATTAGCATGGCTGCCTTCAGAGCTGTGTGTCTAATCTTTCAATCAGGCCTGGATGCCTTTCTAAAGGCCTTACCACAGGAAGACTTGATAGACTTTTTTCAGCAATTGTTTTGTGCAGTTAAGAACGTCCAAGATGGAATGAGCAGGATAGGCTGCTGTCTTTCGTGCCACCATGGTCTGTCTGTAACTAAAGTTTATTCATTTAGAAATCATGGCTTCATCCAGTGAGCTAATTCTCAAGGGAACAACACCTCCTGACATATGGAGCTTTGAATCAGGCCCTTTTGGAACAATAAATATTCCTATGTTCTAAAGAAAGAGAGGGGACTATAAAAGCAGTTCTATAGCAGTTTTAGAGCAGTTTATTCAGAAAAGGTGATTTCAATACAAAAGCAGTTCCATGGTATTCAGACCTCTCTATTGTCAGAACAAGCTGGACGGTAAAAAACCGAAGAGTCACTGCCAAGTACAGCTGGACATGTTAGAAAACAGCTAGAAAAATGTAGGTGTCAAACAGTTCAAATGACTTCATCCAAAACAGAGAGGCTAGAGAGACCAAGATTTAAGACAAGGGTTTCATTTGTCTTTACAGCACTTATATCTACCGTCGTAAATGTTGGAGAAGCCATTTCTCTCTTTTTCTGGGGGGTGGGGGAGAAGCAGTGAAGATTTCCTTGCCATTTTCAGAGAATCCTGGCCTGCAAATAAAAAAGGAAGGAAGTAATTGTCCTCTTCTTTTCAACTCAAGTTATATGGAAGTTGTTCGACTATTCAACAACCACATCCAATCTAAACCCAACGGGCGCTCAGGGCTCCAGAGGTGACCCTGCTCTGTGCCCAGCGACAAGCTGACTATCGCTTTTAACTTCACGGGAAGATGGGCTGGGTCCCAGGCTGATGAGGCTCTTTCACTGGCAAGTGGAATGTTTTGAGAGAAATTGCCGCAGGCCTTGGCCTTATCGTAGGTTGCTGTTACAGTAAATTCCTACAAGAAGCGCTTCCTTGCCTGCTTGCCCAAGGCGCTCTGTGGCACCTGCAGCTCCCCTGCCCTGGCTGACCAGCACTGCTCAGGACACTTCATGCTGCAGAGGCACTGCCATCCCACCTGCGCTGCCCTCCCAGCGTTTCCCGCTTACGTGACAGAACTAACCTTACTCTGGCTCTGCGTGTGTGTGCACGTGTACATATACATATGTGCGCGTGGGTGCGCATGCATGCTTTTGGGGGTTGCTGTTTTTCCGAATTAGAAATCTTTCTCGAACGTGCTGTCACCTCCGAGATTGTTGGCTACATAAAAAGCCGGAGGGCTCCTTGATCCCCACTCAGATGGACAGGGAGGGGTAAGCATGTCTAATTTCACCCTACCTCCAAAGCTGGGGAAACTGAATGCCACACTAAACCACAAGACTTCACACCAGCATGCAGGTGAGCAGCATCAGTCACTTGAGCTCTGGGGTTCCAACTAATTCTGCTGCCCAAAGCAGAGCTCTCTCAGTTACTGATTCAATAACCTACTGAAAAAGCATTTCAGTAGTATAGTCATAGTAAAAACTGATGCCTAAATATTGACTGACTAAATATTACCTCTTGCATCTTCTTCTGTTTGCTGTGAAACTCACACATTGATAAGAATGACTTTAAATTGAATGCTAGACGAAAGGTGCTCAGAAACCTCTGCTGGTAATGGACTCAGCATCGGTGCTGAATTCCCAGCCACATTTTTTTGTTCACAATCCTAGCCTTAAAGGTCAGAGTGAGAAGTGACCAATCCCTGTATGCAACAAGGAATTAGTGGATGAATCAAACACGATAGTTTTATTATCAGCACATATCCTCTGGTAATAAAAATGCAGTAGCATAGAGAATGCATAAACCAAAAGGGTAGGTCCTCAACTGAGAGAAATTGCTGAAGCTAAACTGACTTGGAGCTGCTGAAGAAATTATCTCAGATATTTTGTTACCTGGACAAAAACAGAATAGGTCCCACAGAGCGTCCGTTTCAACTCAGCAGCCACTTTGAGAAAACAGATGATCACCTGCAGTCCACTAAGAGCTATCAGAATAGAGAGTAAAATGATGTTCCACTCCACTATGTTAGCAGGTTCAGTGCACCGAGACCAAGCAGGGTAATCTGTGAGGTACCTATCAGAGAAACAGCAATGTGAAGTAAATTAAATGTGGTGGGTGCAATTCAATTTAAATACACATTATGTTACCTATAATATATAGAAAAAACATATTGGGCTTTATATGCTTCAAGTTTAGGAGCCAGACTCTAGTCTTGCATTACACCAGCATAACTCCTGCATAGCTTTGTCAAACTTAGCTGAGTGAAAAGGCTTATCTTCCTCAAATACGTCTGCTTCATTGGTTTCCCTCTTAGATACCCAAGTGTTAGAAAGACACTGCCATTTTTTCAAATTGCAGAAGCCAAGTTTAAAATGGGAATTTTCCTTTTATTGATTCAATTTCAGCTTTAGGTTAAGTCCAGCTGACATCCGTACCGTGCAGAGAGCAGGAACACCCCCATGCCATCATTCTAACCAGTGCATGCAGCCTCAATGGCAGAACTGAGGTAGGTGTCACCGCTTGCAATTTCCAGTTGTCCTAGAGCCGTGCTTTGCATCCTTGAGGATCATAATGTGCACAACCGACACGTGCCAGCTGTGCCCTTTTAACTGTGAGACATGCTATAGCCTGGCGGTTAATTGCAAGAACCTTTGTTAGACTCCCTTGCTTAGTGTCAGTTGCTTTTTTTCTAAACATTCATAACTGAAATGCTTTGAGCCACATCTGGAGTGCCTTATTCAGCATCTGGCCCTTTACGTTGAACTCAGACTCTCATTTCTGTATTTCCAAATGGGATGGTAATGCTGGTGATAGGAAGCAGAGATTGCAGGATACACTTCAGCGTTTTAAAATAAAGCTGACTTAAAGTCACTGTTAAAGTCACTGTTCAGGAAGTATTCCTG